GAGACCTATAGGACCCACAAAGCCTAAAATACTTACTATCTGGCCTTTTAAAGAAAAAAATGTGCCAACCTCTGCCTACTCTTAAGTCCTTAGTTCCCTGACATGCAGCTGTGTATACCAACAGCTGACACTGGCTACTGTGTGAAACTGAAAGGAGGAAAGACTATTCATTCATCTTTTCATTCAAGAAACTGTTGCATGTTAACTGAGCACCAGGTACTCAGAGATGTAAGGCATTGCTGATGTTGAATGCTCTGCCAACCTTAGGAAGCAAAAGACACCTAACAGGGAAGCAGGGCTACTCTCAACAATACCTGCTCCCACTCCCAGCAGAAAAGCCTCCCCTTTTATGTAGCCCAGGGTTCATCCATGCTGCATAAGAGCTGCCCAGCCCCCCCACCTACAGCAAAACTTTATCAGCATCTTCCCAGCAGACCCCTATGTTCTGGTCCCCTGATGTTAAACCCTGGAAAGCATCAGAATTACCTGGTGATTTTTTAAATATATGTAACCACTCCCCACTGGAATCTCACATGGTGGATGCTAGAAATGTTTTAACAGGCTCCCTAGGTGATTCAAATACGGCCACCCAGGCAGTGGTCTGCAGGTTAACCTCAAAACCACTGCTCGGGCCTTCTCTTTCCCACTTTCATTGTAATGTGCCTGTCTTCACCCCTTTCCTGGCAGTTGCTGCTAACGTTTACAGGAGCCTTCTGGAGACAGTGCCTTAACCCAAAAACATGATTCCATTGGTAGCCTGTGAGAATGTGTTACATGCACGAGGGACAGCTGAAGAGCAGGGAGCCCTGGAGGGCAGTCCTGGGGCATCACATCCCTGGAGCTTCTCATGTTTGCTGCTGCCTAGGTTTTCGCCTAGTTCCAGGAGAATTAGTGGAGAACGTAATTTAAGTGATCTCTGAGAGAGCTTTTGACAAGAAGGCCCAGCAACATTAACACTCACCATATGCCATTCTCGAAATTAAGGCCATAATTTTTTTATTTAAAAAAAAAAATATCTTTATTGATTTCAGAGAGAGGAAAGGAGAGGGAGAGAGATAGAAACATCAATGATGAGAGAGTCATTGATCAAGCCCGCAACTGGGCATGTGCCCTGACC